TGTGTCTGTGTCTGTGTCTGTGTCTTACCCACGGCCAGCAGTACTTCTTGGAGGGTTCCTGATGTCTCTCTCTGGATGCTCTCCTCTATTTCATACCCTGAGAGCTTTCTATACTCCTCAAACACTGCAGAAAAACCATTAACAGAAAACAAGTGAATATATAGAAACAAAAATACCAATTTCATTACCTACATGCATGTGTCAAACTAACCTCTCCTAAGGTGAGCATTACTACGGTTCCCCAGTATAGTGATGAACTGGCCTTCATCAGTTCCATACTTCTGTTCTCCTGCTGCAAGCAGAGCCTACACCACAAACAGTTTGTAAACTGACTGATATTACACACCACAAGCACTAGATGGAAGTATTTCAACGTTTTACATCAAGAACTTTTTATTTAACATCCAAACGTTTTTTCAGGGAAAGAAAATGACCAGTTTTAGTCTAAAAACTTATTTGCAAACATTCAGTTGCATTGGATTTGATGTGAACTTACATATACAAACTTACCTGGGCATCGCTTTGGATGAGGTCCTCTTGTATACCCTGCTGTCTGCTGGCCTACAGCAAAATCATATAAGATCAAATAAATGAATAGTAATGCAACTAAAATGACAAAACAACCACACTTAAGTCTTAGGTCCTTTCTGCAGTGGATTGAAATTCCCAGTGCTATTAACATACACAGATACATTATTGTTGATTTAAATCCTGTATTTTTATTTTTTATAAAGATTGTTAATGGACTACGTACTTGTAGCAAAACAACCAGCATCCTACCGAAATGACCTCCAGTGTCACCAGTCACATCTTCCTCCAGATCATCATTATGCTCTATAACATACATACAGATATCATTAACATTGAAGAGAGCATCATTCAACACATATTGCTTTACCGGCACTAACTACGAATTAGAATACCAAGTAAAAGACAAACACAGTTACCTCGTTTGTATAGACTTTTGATCTCGTTGACTTCATTAGGTAACCTTGATGCCAAGATCTCAATCAGCCCTTTCTCATCTGTGCCTGCACCCTAAGACAACAAATGCAAAGGTACAGATATACAGCAATCGGTCTATAAAACATCATGAAATTTATATTTCACTACAATCGTGAATATTCGTTTTTTTATTGTTAAAAATGATTGACAGGCCTAGTTATTGGTGTGTACCTTAATAGCATCCCGCAGACACGTGACATCATACATGATGGGAGGAGTCATCAGAGCTACAATCAGACTCTCAAACTTCCCACCCAGCTCTGACTTCAAATTATCCACCAAATCCTAAACAGAGATGAAAAGAAAAAACAAAGTAAAGAATGCATCTTTTAAAGATTTTTTTTTAAATTATTGTTTTATGTATCCTGCACAAATTCAAATAACACATTTATATATGGCTTGAGTACATAAATGATGTTGATGAGATTACATTTCCATGCAGGGTTTTGAATGCAGCCTTGATTTCTTGGCGCTGTGCATTACTACGTGCTATCAGCAGCTGGAGAATAGCATCCTCATCGGTGCCTGAGTAAAAAAAAAATTATAATTATTGTTGATGACCATTACATAATGAGTAGACTGATATCCATCTCTTATACCCAGATGCAATATTCTCAAGTTATTCATTCATGAGAATGAAATTAATTAAACAAGCAAAATGTATAAACACTAATGCATCCATACACAGCCTTGATCATCCAAATAATAATAAATTAGTCACACTAAATGTGTAAGATCTCTGGAATTCTACAGCATAATAGATTCTAATTTGCAGTTACACATTTAATACATTTGTCAAACTCACCGAGTCCTTTCATGGCCTTGAAGAGAACTTCAGCGTCATCGTTAGCATTGAATCCACCATGGGCCTTCACTGTGCCTCTGCTAGCCTAAAACAATTAGAAAAAAAA